GCAACCCTCACCAGGGACCAAAACTGGGGGCAACACATGCAGGACCTGCATGAGGCTGGAGGAAACACCAAGGAGGAACTGAGAGTGATGCTGAGCTTTGAAACACAGGCTGGTTCTACAACGGTTTCACCATCCACAACGTGGCAGCTGTGACCAGCAACAGTCCTGTCTGGTCCTGGCAGGCTGTACAGGGGTCATTTGGGTTGAACAAATAGGTATCACTAATGGGACACAGCATCATCTTGCTGCTGGAGGGGTGTGGGGCTGCCATCTGCTCCCACGGGATGGTTCTATTAACTGCCTTGTTAATTAAAGCAGCCTATTCTGTACAAAGATAAAGCCTAAAAGTTCCTTTAAGTCTTCAGGATGCTGAGGGGTGAGCAGAAGTCCTGCTGAGGGTCAGGAGGGTGGAGAGGGGGTGTTTGGGGAGCTGGTTGAAGGAGGAAGAGGGGAGAACCCGGAGATGCCCACTTGCAGGAGGGTAGTGATGGTCAAGGCTGTCCTCAATCCTCAGCAAAGCCAAAAGGTCCACTGAGCCTCTTACCAGGGGTTGGAGGCTGTTCGGGCACAGCAGCCCAAGGGTCAGGAGCTGGAGTAGAACTGGAGCCCTGGGGGGCTGGGGGGGATGCTGTTCCCCAGGGGTCTGCAGGAGGGAAGCCAGAAGACATGGGTGCCTTCCCCCAGGGGTCAGAAGCTGCAGTGGTGCTGTGGGGAAAGTCCCAGGGTCCAGCAGAGGTCTGCTGGGATGAGGTGCTCGCCTGGGAGAGGGGCTCCCCACCAGGGTCTGGGACTGGCACCCAGGGATCTGCTGTACCGGTCCAGGCAGAAGCCACCAGCTCCACTTTGGGTTTCATATCTGGAAAAAAAGGGAAACGGTGGGAGAGGGGAACAATGCAGAGCACAGAGGAATGCTGAGTGGTGGGGATGTGGCCAGGGGACCATGGCTTCCAGCAGTACCACCTGGGTGTGTAACAGAGTAGGCAGCAGAGGGAGAAGAAGGCAGAGGTCCTCACTGTTGAGCTCCTGGGGACTGGGGAGGAACAGAGGCAAGGGACAACCTTCAGCCACTGTCCCAAATTTTGGCAGCCTGCAAGTTTTCCTCACCTGGCATATCCCATGGGTCAGCAGATGTGTGGCTGGAGGGGGCTGGCGCTGGCCCAAATATATCTGCCAGCTCCAGAATAGAGGACTGCAGACAGAAAGGGAATAAAGAGGTGAGAGGAGCCTGGGGCAGACCTGCAGGATCACCCCTGTGTGGCCACCCAGCCTCCAGTGCTGTACCTGGCTTTTCTTCATCTTATCTTCTTCTTGCTCTTCGTCCCTGCCGGGGGCAGTCTCCTCCACCGGTCGCTGCTGCAGGGAGTTCTCCCCTTGCCAAGTCCTCACTTCCTGTGGGGACAAGGGATGGGGCCTGTGAGCTCAGCAACCCTGTAGCCAGCACCTTCTCCAGGAGACACACCCAGTACAGGAGCTGCCACCCAAAAAGTCCCAGCATCTGAGCAGACAGCTCCTCCAGGGCCAAGCCCCCCAGGAGAGCACTCAGCAGACAGCCCGGAGCAGTGAAAGCAAAGCGGGCACCGGAGCAAGTGATGTTTCGGGCTCTGGTGCCACAGAGAGAAGACCAAGTGCAAGGAGAGCAGAGTGCCAGGACTGCAGGACACAGGTACCTTCTTGTGCTCCTCTTTGCTCAGCGCGAGCGCGAGCTGCAATTGTCTTTCTTCGTCTGTACTGGAAAGTGGAGGAAGTGGCTTCTGGCAACAGAGGAAATTGGGTGACATTTCAGCTTGCCCTCAGCTCGCAGGACTTCTTGGAGGCTGTCCCTCATCTTGCCACTGCCATTCCTGCAGCCCCTTTCCTGCCTGCACAGCACCTGTGCCCATCCAGCTGGCCTTGCCTGCAGCCCCCCCAGCCCAGTGTCCCTGTGCTTTCTAACCAGCTCCTGCTCAGCTTCCCTGCAGCCCCTGCCCAGCTCCTTCCTCAATCCTACCACCTGCTGCTGGATTTAAGGCTGGGATGACTCTAAATTAGGCAGTCAGCATCTCCCCTGAGAGGTTTTTGGGGACTCTGATGCAGTCAGTGAAGGAGAGGGAATGAGTAAGGCATCCCTGGCAGCCTGCTGGGGAAGAGGGTTTGTGACACTGACCAATCTCAGTTTGGGATTCCTGCCAGCCCCACACCTAGACCTGAGTAGACTCTGGGGAGAGGCTGTCTCTGAACCAACATGGTGGCCCTGATCACCACCCCATGGCACTTTTCCAGCAGTGTGGAGGAGACTCACAGGGACTGGGAATGGGTACCCTGGTGGGGGTGTGCACGTGTCGACACCCATACATGTGTGCACATCCATGTGCAGCCCAGATGGACTCCAACAAACAGGCAACACTTTCCAGAGTGTTTCTACAGTGCTCATTGGAGCAGCGGGAGGAGGCTATAAATACTCCAATTTCAGGACAAAAATAGGGATATACGCTCTGCTCTGCCTCCAAAAGAGCCTCCATCAGGCAGGAAAGACTGGCAGCAACAAGGACCATCTCCAGAGCACATCCCCTGCCCTGGCAGGACTGAGCTCATGGTGCTGAGTGCCAGCTCCAGGGGATGCCCATCAGTCCAGCCATGCAGCTCCTTGGTCCCCATGTCCCTGTGACTTGGCATTCCGGCTGTACCCACAGGCTCATGCACACCATGCCAGCTGGTTTCCAGTGAGCCAATAATCCATCCTTGGTGGAAGAGGGGACAGCAGATAGGCGAGGGCACAGCCTGAGGTGGCATCACACTGGGCACAACAGCTCACTTCCTTGATTCCTCCTGGGGCTGTCTCCCAGTGCTCCTTCTAGCCCAGTTTGAAAGGACCAGACAGTGGGACGGAGCACCTGTGTGCAGTGAGCCCACAGCCACAGGGATGCTGCTGGCCTGTGTCCACACAACCTGCTGGACAAGGCTTTGCCTCCTAAAACCTCTGTGGGTAGGTGAGAGAAATGGGAGAGCTTAGACAAAAAGTCCTTGGCAGAAGAGGGCAGCCAGGTTGGGGGATAGGGGTTGGGGTAAATGCAGAAGACCCCCCAAGTTCACCCTGGGGTCTGGGAGGCTGGACAGATCCCAGCTTGATGCTGTCCTCTCTAATATGAGAACAGGGAGCAGGGGCAGCCCATGCCTCCATTGCCCACAATGCGAGCAGCCTGGTGCAGCTGCAGGTACATGCACCAGCCTCAGGCAGCCCCCAAAATCCTGCCTCTTCCCAGGGAACTGATCCACTGTGTTCACAGGTAAGGCTAGGTACAGGGAGACGCCCCAGGACAGGCAGGGTCACTCTACCTTCTCTGCCTCCTCCCGACTCATGGCCAGTGCCAGCTGCAGCTGCAGTTCCTCCTCTCCTGTCGTCTGGGGCCGCGCTTGCTCCAGGTCAGAGGCAAACCGTGGGGATGAGGATGATGCTGGGAGATAAAAGAGGAAAAGGAAAGTGAGTGGCATCAGTACTGAGATATTTTGGGGGAGCACATCAGCAGTTTCCAGGCCTCTGTCGCAATGCCCAGCCTCCCCAGGAGATGTAGCCACACTTTAGAGCTCCCTACATCAAAAAAGCCATGAGTTTAAGGCTGGAGGCACCATCAGCTGCCACTGCTGCTGGGGTCTACCACTGGCAAACCTCTGCCCTGTGGTGCAGGATGGGCTTCAGCACCACCATCCCAAAAGCTGCAGAAGAATGACGGGCACCAAGCAGGTGCAAACCAAATGCAACAGCTGCCTCCCCTGAGCGAGCCGTCAGTAACACTCACAGTTAAATGAGGAGGGTGAGCCCCGTGTCCGGCTGTAATCTTCACCGTAGGGTGACGCCCGGCGGCCGTAGGTGACCTGGTGGCTGCCGCTGCCCATGCCCTCCAGGGCCATGCGCTCCTTGGTCTGCAGCGCGTGTGCCCGTTCCTGCTTCAGCCGCTCCTCATCCTTCAGCAGCGCCATCACCTGCTTCACCTTCTCCCGGATGTTGATGCCCTGGTCCTTGCCGTCACGGTCCACATACTGGAAGTCCTTCAGCGTCTGGATGGTGTAGAGGTTCTCCCGGCACTGGTGGGTCACCTTCTCGGAGCCGGTTTTGATGAGGTAGTCCAGGAGGGTGAGGGCTTTGTAGACGTGACGCCAGTTCTTGCCACTGTCGTTCAGCCGCCGCCAGATCATGCCCATGACCTCGGCAAAAGCCACCGTGTTGAAGGTGAGGTCGGCGATCTCGGACATGAGGGAGCTGGGAGGTCCCCAGGGATCATTGGAGGTGGCTTCCCGCACCTTGATCTCTGCCTCTGAGTAGTTGTGCACGATGTTCTTCACCTGCCGGCGCAGTGCCGAGGTCGTCATGGCTGTGTGGTGCCGGAGACCTGCTGCTGGCAGGCAGGAATGGTGGAGAAGGGATGAGTGAGCACAGCCACAGCCTCACCAGCGCCTGCAGCAGGGAACAGTGACACAGAGATCTCAGCATCACCCCAACCACCAAGACCCATCCCCAGAGCCCTTGGTTGGCACCAGGGGCACCCCTCAAGGTGGATGTGACCATCATAGGGGCATCAGGTGCACCCTGCCAGGCTGCCACAGCTCACCAGCTCAGACACATAGGACACTCAAGGGGAAAAGAAATCTCATGGCAAGTGATACCCAGCATTGCAGAGCCACCACAGGTTTTGACTCTGGATTCAGCAACATTTGGAGATTCTACCCTGCACTTCTGCTTCTAAAAGTAACCTCTGAAAATGGCAGCTTACTCCTCCAGGTCCTGTCTGCCTCACCTCCACTGTCTTGGCGAAGCTGATTTCAGAGCCTCCCAGCCCTCCCCTGCAGGGAGGAGGACAGGAGGTACAGCAGCTCCCCTGTACCTCCAGATGCCCTACCTGCAGCTGCACACAGCTTCTCCCGTCAGCCCTAGGCTCTCAGTGCTGTCAAGGCTGCATCATGCAAACCCAAAACCTCGCCATGAGTCAGAGCCTATCGCGACTCACTAGTGCTGGCAGCTGCTCAGGCAGATTTTCCCAGCAAATTTGGTAATTTTGCTCCTGCAAGAGGCTGGCAAATTCAGGGTGCTAACAGCCAGCACCAGGTCAGCCAGCAGGACAGATAATGCAATGCCCCTCTCACCAAAACCCCAAGCTATCTGAGCCTCCTCTGCGCTCAGACACAGGGGCTGCAAGGGCAGGCATGGTCAGGAGCTGCCCTGGTACCTCCCCACGGGCAATGCCTGTCCTTGGGATGCACCGCACTGATACAGATGCAGTGATGTGGGGCAGCCTGGACCTGTCTTCACACGGCATCACAACCCTGTACCCTGCTCCATGCTGGTCCTAAATCCTCATGTTGTCCCTGCATGGTGAGAAGACACTGCTCACCCTCATTTTCTCAGAAGGCCAAGCTGAGGGAGAGGCAGAAGCTGCCTGGAGGTGCCTTGCCCTCGGCAGGGCTGCACCACAGGACTGGGGAACTGAGCTGCTCCCAGAGCCCTCACTGCAGCTGTGACAAAACTCACTGGCAATTTTTCCCCCATCCAAGATAACACAAGCGAGCAGAGGAATATCTCCCCCACACAGCAGTCTGCAGACAGTGATTATCAGTGTGCATCCCATCACCCATCTCGGGTGCTGGTAGCTCCCTGGACTGCAGCTGCTGCACCATATCCAGCCCTCTCCCGGCTCAGGATACTGCTCCATCCCACCAGAGCTGGGCCAGGGCAGTGCTGATGTGCCCACAGGCCCTGCACAGGACCCACCACGCTCCCACACAACCTGTGTGACCAGTCCAGCACCTCCTGCTCCTGTGGGCCAGCAGCAGTGGGCCAGGAGCCCCACAGCTCCACCAGCAACACCTCCCATGAGTCAGAGAGGAGCCTGGCACCGCCGTGCTCACGGGTGAACGAAGTTTCTCTCCAGATGCTTCCCTGTACCGATTCCCTTTCACAATGCAGCCCGTCAGCATGGCCTTTGGATCCCTCCAGGAGAGCCCATGGTGCAGACGGCCAGGCCACAGCCTGCCTGGCACAGAAACGCCTCCAGGACAAGGGCAGCAACACAGCAAAGTCCTCCAGGACTTGGCTCCACGATCTGCTTTCCACCAACACCCAGGTGGACATAAAGTCACGTTTTCCAAAGGTGCGACCAGCCTGGAAAGCACCAGCAAGCACACCGGCAGTGTAAGGAGGAGGCAGGATAGTTCCTTCTGCCTCCAACAGGTTTCCTAGCTGGACAAACCCCAGGTCCAATGACAGGCTCCCGGCATTGCTCATCCTGGCCAGAAACCTGACCCCAGCTGGACTTTGCCCGCCATGAGATGGCCTGGGAAGTTGAATGGAAAGAGATGGGAAGCATGGGCTAGGGCAGGGATGAGAGGAACGTAATCAGGGCTGGGAGCTGCCAGCGGGGTTAAGAGCTGTGGGTTTATCAAACACAATATCATGCCCCCCCCTCCCTGGAATATAAAGGGAGTGAAACAGAAGCCGTGTGGGAGATAAGGCGGCAGCACCCAGCAGCTCATATGGAATTACTGCAGTGACCTTGACCAAGACGTGGCCAGGTGGGAGAAGGACACGGCTGCGGGGCTGGGTCCCCATCGCCTGCGGGCCGGCGCGGGGGCTGCGGGGGCGGCGGGGGGCGAGGAGGAGCGGCCTGGAGGGGGAGCGGCAGGGATGGGGGGGCTGCAAGTCAGGAGGGGGGAAAGTATCCGGCGAGGGGAGAGGGATTACAGCTCCATCCTTAATCAGGTGCAGGGCTGAGAGGAGCAGCGACCGCCATGGGGGGAGCGGCAGGGAACGGCCCCCGCAGCGCTCCCCGCCGTGCCGTGGGCTCCCGCAGCCGCCGCGGGGGCCCGAGCCCGGCCCGGGAGGCGGCACGGCATCACGCTGCCCGCCGGGGCCCGGCATCCCCCGCAGCCCGCGATGCTCCGGCGCCCAGAACCTTCCTCCTCCTCCCTCTCCCCCCCAGCGCAGCCCGGTGCCGGGGGCGCGCAGCCCCGGTTACCTGCGCGCCGCTGCCGCCAGTGCCGCCAGTGCCGATGAGCGCGGGCTGGAGGCGGCCGCAGCCGCCCGCTCCTGCTGCGCGCCGCGAGTTGCCGGGCTGGCTGGGCAGGTCCCGGCGGCAGGTCCCGGCTTAACCCCTTCGGGACTGCCCGGGCACCGGCAGAGGCGCTCAGGCCCCCCCGGTGCGGTGCGGAGCAGCGCGGTGCGGTACCGGCCGCGGGGGATGCGGCGCCGAGCCCCTGCCCCGCTGCATGCGGGAGGCGGGGATGCTGTAAATGCTCAGTCACTGCCCCTTCTCTGGCAGCCAGCCAGGCGCTGCTCGCTGCTGCCTGCGCGCCTGTATTCCCTTTTTTTTTCCCCTCCTCCCCCCATTATTTTTAGACAGAAATCCGCGTCCCTGGGCGCGGAAGAAGCTCCGAGGCATGTCGACGCTCCCCACCACGCAGCTCCCTCTCTGCTACCCAAGGCCACGCTCGCAATTTGGGTTTTTTTTTTTTTTTTTTTTTTTTTTTCTGGGATCTAAATTTGGAGCGGGTTCTTCCCCTGCTCTGAACAGCTCCCGGAGCCTGGCTGGGGGGAGAGAGGGAGGCATCAGATGACATGACAAAATAAGTCATGTCTCTCGATCATTTCAATGCCACCCCCTCTCTCCCGGCCTCTGCCTTCCATTTTAATCACTGACAGCCCTTCAAGTATTATGGATATATATAATCTTTTTAATATCACTGACATTTTTCACGATGGAAAGCATCTCAGGGGTGCTGAGACATTCTGGGGTGGGAGGGGGATCGTGCCTTCCTGCTGCTGCTCCCGCCAGCCACAAAGTGCAGAGCTGAGATCCATTTTGCCCTAGGGTCCTGCCCTAGGTCTCGGGGGAGGCCATGTGCCTCTGGGGGCTTTGCAGATCTCAGCAGCCTGACATTCCCAACAGGCTCTGGCTGTGCAGGCTGAATAAGCATCTATTCCCAGTACCAGCCGCAGTGTGGGAAAAGAGCATATCCAGCATCCAAACCCTCTGCACGTCAGCCCAGAAAACATCCCAGCTTGGGAAATGGCAAGTGTTCTTCACTGCAGCCCAAGCTCCAACCTTCCTCTTCCATTCCCAATGCTCCTGCTTCACTGTGTCAGATGACAACTCTGTCAAAAGACAACTTGCCTTTCTTCAGGCAGAGATTGTTTTATAAGTGAACCTTACTATTGAAGGGAAAATACTGGTTTTGGAGCTGTACAAATGTGGGGCTTCTATGCTGGAGGGCCCAAAACCCCACTGTGGGCATAGGACCCAGCAAAGCACTGCTTGCCCTCAGCAGAGGCTGGCTGCTCGTCCAGACCCCCTTTGCCATTAAGAAACCTCTGGAAATGCACTGTCACCTTCTGCTTGCAGCATTTTCCTGCAATTCCCCCTCTTCCCATCCTCTCTGCTGGTGATGGCATCTTCAGGCCCCACTCACGTGATGGGTTTGGAATGCGACTCCCAGGGCCAGGAAGGTCACTCACCTTGCTTGTTTAGCAAACACAACACAAATTATTAACACTAATACAAATATTGCCCACGTTTGGGAGAGGAGAAGGAATCATTTCCTTGCCTGGCTGCAAGGACTCAGCCTTACAGGGCCCTGCAGAATGCAGGGCTGACAGCCCTGAGGATCTCTGTGCTAAGTACAGAGCCCACATCTCACACTGGACCTATAAATAAGAGGTATATATTTCTAAAGCTGCTCTGTGGAAGCCAGCTCTAATTCCACTGCAGTTCCTGCCCTGTTACTTCCATAAATCGATGAAAAAAAAAAAAAAAGGCAAAAAAAAAAGCAGCTGGCCCCAAAAAAGCTGCAGCAGC